AGAATTAATTTTTTCCGTTTGTGATTCTAATCAGAATTTTTCAATAAAATAAACAAAAAATCACTTTCTATGAAAAAGTCAATTAAGAAACACAAGGATTTGGATGATGCTATTCATCTTGGGGATAGTAATTCGTGTTCTTTGTGTCCTTGTATGCAGTAGTTTGCCCTCGAAAGGTCTTTGACTCATCTATTGAGAGTCCATTTTATCTGGTGGAATCTTGTCGATCGGTGGAAAGAACGTCCTTGAAAAGGGCACATTTAAGCCCGATATACTATATATATATATTATGTAGTATAGTATGAAGAAGAGAGTCACCCTCTCGACCTCTTTCCACTCTCCGCACTCGCCGATCAAAGAGAATGCAACAAGTTCCCAAAGGTTTCCACTTTCCACCACTCGCTTCCGCTGCTGCCGCCTCCGCTTAGAAACCCCTTTTGTTTTGTTGGATCGTGGCCAGAACCATGGTTACCTCTATGCTTACTCTACGTTTACTCAGGAGTTCCTATTTACCTGACAGGCTTCCACTTTTTCCCCTCAGACGATATTGTTCAATTAAAATGAGAAAAAAAAAATAAATCACTTTTCTCACTTCAAATACAATTTATACGATTTTGCGATCAAATAATTATTTCCATCCTTATCTTTTTTATTCTTTCTTTGAAAAAAAAAGTATAGCAAGAGACTGATAATACTTAGACATATTTTTCTGTTGGATTTAAAGTTCACGTTTCAGTATTTTATAATGTCAAACGAATTTTTAAAATAATCAACTAAATTTGCTTGTAAATTATTAATCTTGATTTTTTATGGTTGCTGATTACAATTCCGAAGCTAAATTTTACAAATTAAAAATGGCGGATCTAATATGGAGGTCGAATTTTTTAAAATCGTTGCCTAACCTCAACTTCTGCTTACTCAATTCGTTACCCCCAACTTAAAATGAGTTCAAGTTTTTTCTGCGTGGTTGAGAATATTTAAAATATTTGAAAATCTTTTGGAAGAAAGTTAAATATTCTTCCTCTATTCGAAGTTCAATTACTATGAATATGTCAGAATTATGTTGTCTATGTGATGCATTACATTCAAAGATTATCAAAATCCGCTTATGCAATTCAGAGTCAATTTCCATGGTAGTAGTGGCTACAAATTCATATTGTTGAGTTCTCTTCCGCGATGGTTTATATGGAAAGCGATGATGTTATAGGTATTAAAACTATACTGAAGATAATCCGCATACATGGACGATTGTGCATCCATTAAGTCGGAAGTATTCTGATATTCAAGTTAATATAAACTGACATTGTGTTCCATATTTCCGGTAAATGCAATCATCTGCAATGATGATTTTTTCTATGTTATGCTCAATGAATTGGAAAAGTACATTATATATAAATAAATCATTCCTCCGCTTAGAATGTCGGACTGATTTCCGGATGCAGGCTATATTATATATAAACTATACGGGATTAATTTGAAAATTATCCGAATCAGTTCGTCATTTATTCGTTATGAAAAAGTCAATTCAAAAAATAAAGCCCAATTTATATTTCCGGTTAAGATTTTTGTTAAATTGAACCCATATCAATTTTATAAATATGTGCCTGAAGTTTTAATTCTTTTTTTCGGTCTATAAATTATTAAAAATTACTAATGCAATGAAAAATGAAAAAGTGAATCAAATATTTATTATATTATTCATTTCTACTCAAAGATGTAATAAACAAATTTTTTGTTCATTTGAACGTTCAGAACATTCACTAAGAAAAAAAAATTTAGTGTTTGCAACAAAATTGTTTGGTTAGGGAATTTTGGTTCTTGTAACCAAATTTTGGTTGGTTGAAACAACGTCGTAGAGTTATCTCAACTAAACATTTGGTTAGGCCAACAAAATTATTTGGTTGAACTAACCAAACATTTTTGTTATGCTTACAAAAAACACTCAAACAAATTTTTTGGTTGACTCAAACAAATAGTTTGGTTGCTTAAATACCAACAAAACTTTTTTGTTGGCCCAACCAAATTTTGGTTGCTCTGACTAAACATTTTTCTCAGTGTTGTGACTTTATAAAGCATTTAGACAGGTCAAAAAATGTATAAATATTTAAATAAATAAATATAAGTAAATATTTTAGTTTATTAAAAAAATGGTATGACCGTCTTGAACAATGGAGAGTTAAAAACAGAAAAAAAACAATTTCTTTTTTTACTTATTCTTTCAATGTTTCTGAGTTGCGGTCCATTCAGGATTTACTCTATGAATAATACATAATATATATAATTTTATCTTTACAAAAAAGAAAATGATCTTCTCATGAATGGTTTACATTTACATATTTCAAAAAATTTTCCATTGCTTTGTTTAAAAACTTATGTTATATATAATATTTAGATTATTATAAATAAATAATTGAGGTTCTCATGAGGGTCCATTAAAAAGAGACCAGGTTAATACTTTTTTGAATATACATATTATGTATTATCAGACGTTTTGGTTGTGCTACTTTGCCCTATATTTAAAAAAAATCTTTGATCAGGACCTAGCCAGTTTGTCTAGTTTGGAAAAATAAAAAAAAACTTAGCTTTAAAATTTACATTTTGTAAATAAATTTTGAACAACTGGAGGGAAGTTTTATATTATAGTTTTAATGTTGTATTTGATTTTTTGTTTTCAATACAATACCCAATGAGAAAAATACCATTGGCATATATTTAATGGTCCAATAATGGAAGCCAGGGATGCCAATATAATTTTAATAATAGCACCCAATAATGGACCATTATTGATACACGGAAAAAAATGGAAAAACGAATAAAATAACTTTTACTACCTTAAAAGTAAAACCGTAACTGACCGCAATTTCTGCGCATGTCTGGCAATTTTTACTCCAGAAATAGTAAAATTTACTCTTGAAACAATTTCTAAAGTAAAAATTGCCAGAATGGGCAGAAACTGTGGACAGTTCCGGTTTTACTTTCAAAGTAGTAAAAGTTACTTTATTCGTTTTTCCATTTTTCTCCGTGTAATGTCATAGAGTGTCCCGTTTTATATTTGTTATTTTATATTTATTGACAAATTATTGAAAAATATTCTCTAATTCAAATTCTCGTAAACATTATAAAAAATTTAATATATTAAAAACAAAGTAAATAAAAAATATTATGGAATTCATCTGTAACACCGTCCGACACGATTTTTCACACACGAAAAAATCAATGATTTTCAGAAACTAGGACCAAAAAAAAGATACCTGTGTCTGGCCGTTTTGCTAGATCAGGTCATTTTTTGCTTTTAGGGGTAAAAAAAACCCTTAAATGAAAGGTAATAGGAAATCTTGTACAAATTAATAATTTTTTATGAAACCTGGTATCTCGGGGTTTTCCGGGTCGCTGATTACGAATCTGATGTCAGATTTTCAAAATTCAAAATGGCGGATCCAATATGGCGGTTGAAATTTATAAAAATTCACCAATTCATTTGAAAGTTGTTACTTAGGGGTTTTTGGGGTCGCTGATTACGAATATGATGTCAGATTTTTAAAATTCAAAATGGTGGATTCAATATGGCGGTCGAAATTTATAAAAGTTTATCGAATTCACTTAAAACTTGTTAATTGAAGGTTTTTGGGGTCGCTGATTACAAATTTGATGTCGGGTTTTCAAAATTCAAAATGGCGGATCCAATATGGTGGTCGAAATTTATAAATGTTATTAATTTTTTATAAAACTTCGTATCTCTGGGTTTTTGGGGTCGCTGAGTACGCATCTGAAGGTAGATTTTTAAAATTCAAAATAGATTTAATAATGTGGAAGATTAGAAAACAATATTTAAAAAAAAAAATTTCCACATATGTGTTTTTTGTATATTGGACAAAGTTAAAACCAATGAAAGTTGTTTATATGTTCGTTTTGAGTTGCATAGTTACGGAAAATAGTACATAAAACAAATGACAATTGTAGACTTTTTTACTTTGCACAGCAGTTTTAAACAATCACTTCACATCTTTAAATTGATCTTACTTGAGCTTATTACTGTTATCTAATAAAAATATTCTTACTTACTTCAAAGCCTGTTTTGTCATTAAAAAAGTGTCCAATATACAAAAAACACATATGTGGAAATTTTTAATTTTTATATATTGTTTTCTAATCTTCTACATTATTAGATCTATTTTGAATTTTAAAAATCTACCTTTAGATGCGTACACAGCGACCCCAAAAACCCAGAGATACGAAGCTTTATAAAAAATTAATAACATTTATAAATTTCGATCACCATATTGGATCCGCCATTTTGAATTTTGAAAATCTGACATCATATTCATAATCAGCGACCCCAAAAACCCCTAAGTAACAACTTTCAAATGAATTGGTGAATTTTTATAAATTTCGACCGCCATATTGAATCCGCTATTTTGAATTTTGAAAATCTGACATCAGATTCGTAATCAGCGACCCCAAAAACCCCGAGATACCAGGTTTCATAAAAAATTATTAATTTGTACAAGATTTCCTATCACCTTTCATTTAAGGGTTGTTTTTACCCCTAAAAGCAAAAAATGACCTGATCTAGCAAAACGGCCAGACACGGGTATCTTTTTTTTGGTCCTAGTTTCTGAAAATCATTGATTTTTTCGTGTGTGAAAAAAAAGTTGAATTTTGTCGGACGGTGTAATATTATTTATATAATTATAATTGAATAAATAATTTAAAATCCGCATTATTTTGCCCAAATAAGATATATATTTTAAAATACTTTCTATATAAGAAAATCTCTGAGAATTGCTATAGATTTTCACTATCCTTGACAAAAGAAAAAATTGAAACCTGCGATCAAACAAAGCTTTTGGTAATGCGAGGAATAAAGAGAGTTCTCTTCTCTCTCGCATTTCAGTCTTCTCAACTTTATATCTATATAGTAATTTAATAATGCTTCTTGTTTTTGTTTGAAAAAGTTGTTGGTATATAAAGAAAAAGTTGTATTTTTTTCTATTTTGCAGACAAAACTTCGCGTAATGGTTGAAGAGAACGCAGCGACGGGTGCCCGTCTTGACGGGGAATTGGAAAGGGCAAGGGGTGAATGTGCCACATTAAGGGGCGAGTTAAGAGACGTGAGGGGTTCATTGGTGTTAAATAATAATAATTCAAATGGCGGTGGTGGCAGTAGCAGCGCAAGTAGCAGTAGCAGCAGTACTAATAACAATTCAAATAATACCTCGTCATCGACAGCCTCATCCAGTGGAAGTGGCTCTAACTTAAATCCGGGACAAGAAATTGGCGATGGTCCAATTCAACAAGATGATACCAAGAGACTTAGCGCTGGAAGCAGTCCCGTTGATAAGAGAAGTTCCGCCAGTGAAAAGTCGGTTAGTCCCGTTGATAAGAGGACTAGTCCTATTGATAAGAAGGAGAGAACAAGCCCCATTGATCGAAGGTCAAGTCCGATAGGTAAGCACTACTCACTATTTTCAGTGGAGCATATTCTTTGTTTTTTTGTTAAAATGAGGTTTTAGAGGGGATTAAAGTACCAAAAATAAAATGTGCTCAGCATCGCCTGAAACTTTTTTCTCGGGGGTTTTTGGAATCGCTGATTACGAATCCGATGTCAGTTTTTTAAAATTCAAAATGGCTGGTCCAATTTAATTTTTAGAAATTCGAATTATTAAAAGTTCGAATTATTAATAATGCGAATGTTTTTAATTATTTTTATTAGGCAGAATTTTCAAATGTTGGAATTTTTAACTCACATGAGTGAAAAGTTTCGATCTTTTGATAATTCAAACTTTTAGCTTATTCGAACTTGAAAAAATTATATAAAATGGTTATTTGACTTTATGGAATTCGATTTTTTGAGATTTTAGCCAAATAAGGCGACTCATAAATAATATTTCATTATATTTGATAAAAATATAAAATAGGTCATAAAAATTTTTAACTTTAATTATAATAATAATAGCCGCAATAGATTTATACAAATTAAAGATTTTCTGATATACTGGTTTTTATCACATGTGTTAGCCAGCATGACTAAGCAGTTAATTTATTTACCTCTAATGAATTGTTTATTGATTTAACGAAGTTCGAACTTTAACGGAGTAACTCCTTTTTTATTCGAAAGCATTAAACTTTGATCCTCTCTCTCTATAGAGAAAACTTTTCCGAGACTAGAATTTGATCCACGGATATTAAAAGCGATGAGCTGCCGATAACATTAAAGATAATGTGCATCGAGTAAAATTTATAAACTGAAACTTTGATGTCGTGATTTTTTTTACCAAATTTCCTTTAGTTATATATATATATTTATGGAATATTGATTTTATTCAACAAAACGATTTCTTTACTGAATTTTTAAACCTTTATACGAAATTTAATTTTATGAAAATCCTGTTTTGAAATTTTCTTGTTAAATACAAAAGTATTTTGAAAGAAAGAATTTTAAAATTTAAAACATAAAATTATTTTCTTTCATTAAATGAAAGTGTGTACATAATTATATTGTACTACTTACTTTTGTTACGTATTATTATAATATATTATTTTAATACATATCCAATTTGTTAGTAATTCAATTATTTACAAAGCATTAGTCCTAAGTAAACAGAAATTTGTGCTTAATTTAGCTGAAATTTTGGTCGATTTCTATAACCAAAGTCTTATCATCAAAACCATGTTGGTCTAAGTTTAATGGCAAACAGACAATGAATTGCGTGAATTGGTGCAGATACCTATATATATACACCTATAACTCATTAGAGCAAATGCTTACACTGCTATATATATATATAGCCCCTACATTAAGAGAACAGCTCTCAGAGTTGAATTAAATTTCATTTATGAATGGTGTCTTGAGTATGTCACGTATTCTCTTTGAAGCTTATATATCTATATCTATATATATCTTCCAAGAGCACTGGACAATAATATAATGGAAATCTCCATTATAGAGACATACCTTTTTCGTCTTATTAAGATTTTCAACCATAATCGTGGGATTTCAAAAATTCTTACATTCCTTTATTATTTTTATCTTGCAGTTGTAGTGAACCTCCGCGCAATTCAATGTCATAGGCACAATAATTAAATAAATAAGTAAATTTTATTATTATCAATAATTAAATTAAAAGTTTGGTCAAATTTCTACAAGTTCGAATTATCAAAAGATAAAATTGATAAAAAATTTAAATGTTTATTTAATCGAATTTTCAAAACTTCGAAATATCAACACAGAAAATTAAAAGGCATTAAAATAAGCTGCAACGCTTATTATTTTAATGCCTTTTAATTTTCTGTGAAAAGAGCAAATTTTTTAAAATTTGAATTATATCAGAAGGTCGAATTTTCGAAAGTTGGAATTGTTAAATGTTAAAATATTTATTTAATATAACATTCGAATGTTTAACAATTTTCTAGTTTCTGGAGAATCACATGCATTTTTCTCGAAAAATTGATTTTGATCGTAAATATTTTTTTTTTTGTTTACTATAGAAAGAAAAAATGGATCACCTTGTCATAGTCCAAGTGAAAAGGTTCGAAGACCTTATGCCCCGGCTTTAGAAAAAGCAAGACTGGGAGGTTCTGGCGGAAGTGTCGATTCAAGATCAGGAAGCGCAAGTCCAGATCGAGGTTCAACGAACACAAGAGGATCGTTTCTCAATCGTGGAAGTAGTGAGAGATCGAGCGTTGAGAGGCTACGAATTTCCACAAATCGTGATCCCTTGAGGTCAACCAAAGACTCAAATGATCTCGACAAAGAAAACAAGGATCTTGTGGATGGAGATGTACGTCCCGATGAGGAGAATGAGCCGCCAGCACCAGCTCCAGGCAGCAGACCAACATCCCCAGCTAATTCTCTCGGTGAGCTCTCTCTCTCTCTCTCGCACAGTTACTGAATTATAAACGTAAAACCCTTTCAACACACTGTTCAAGTTCTCTGTTCCTTTTTCCAGTCCAGACAAATCTACCCTTTCATTCCATAAACGTCGAGGGTAGTTTCCCATTTTACGCTCTGATTCGCTTTCAACTGTATAGACGATGTCAGAGTTTTATATTTTATTTTGGGGTCACTCGAAATTTTATTTTCTTCTCGTTTTAAAATGGATTTTTTTTTTTATTGAAATATATTTTTATTTTATTTTCACTTTATTTATATAACATTTTATATTTAAAAGTTGTTCGATTAAAGATTTTTCAAATATAGAGGGAAATGTGATAATAAAATTTTTATAGCAATAAAACAATTTATTATTCAATATGTTTCCTTAAAATAGGGATTAAATTTACAACATGAGTTTTTTTTATCACTTTTCAGAGTAACCTCACTAAATTAAATGAACCATTTTTTTATATTTATTAATTGGTCATTCTCTGCCAAATGGACGCACTTCCTACTGTTCAAAATTGGTTTGATATTAAAAAATGATTCAATACATGAAATTATAACTTAAGATGTCTAATTTCATTTGTTATTTAGGGTTTTTGAAAATATATATATGGACGATAAATATGGCGCCTGGAATAAAAAAATGCAATAAAAAAAAAAAATAATTGTAGTTGTTGAAGCTTCAAAAATTAATTGAATTATTCAGACAAGCCATATTAAGGGCTTCAAGGGGTCACTGACTACGAATATGATGAATCTGAAGTTAATTTTCAAAAATTCAAAATGGCGGACTATTTTCTAAAACTTTATAAGATTTGCCTGTAAAACTTATAACTCAGGGGTTTTTGGGGTCGCTTATTACGAATTTGAAGTTCGCTTTTGAAAATTAAAAATGGCGCCCAAAATATAAAAGTTTGATCAGATTTGCCTGAAACTTTTTACTTGGAGGTTTCTGGGACCGCTGAATAATAATTTGAAATTAATTTTTGAAAATTCAAAATAGCGGATCTATAATTATAAATTATTAATTATTATATTATTATTATTATTATTAATTATTATCTATAATTTTAAAAAAATGTAAGTTTGTTATTAATTTTATTATCTGGGTGCTTGAATATATGCCTTTTAAAAACTGACGGCATAGGTGCAAAACATTCAAGAGGAATGCATATACTATAGTTCTAGTCTTATAGCAAAACCCAAAGATGCAATTTTAAACAACGATGCTCTGACGAAATGGAAAAGTCATTTTAAGCTTATACAGATCTTTTACTAGTCAAGTAGAATACGATAAAATGAGAAGAAAACTCAATAATAGGTTTGAACAGACATTATCTGTTCCAAAAATAATTAAAAATCATTCCTTTCAAATTATTTCTGGCAGTCGACTTTTGATCAATTCTAATGCTATTGATGGTACAAGAATAATCGAATTAAGCTAAAATATTAAAAAAATTTTAAAACAAACTTCAAATTCATAATAAGCCACATCAAAAAACCCCAAGTAAAAAGTTTCAGGCAGATCTGATCAAATTTTTATATTTTTGGGCGCCATTTTGGATCCGCCATTTTGAATTTTCAAAAACGAACTTCAAATTCGTAATCAGCGACCCGAAAAACCCCCGTGTGAAAAGTTTAAGGCAAATCTTATAAAGTTTAAAAAAATCGTCCGCCATTTTGAAAAATTCATTTCTCGTAAACGGCTTAATAAAAAAAAAATTGAAAAAAAATCATGAAAGCATGTTTCAATTAGTGCTAAACTAAAAAAGTTTGGAGTGGAATACGTCATATATATTCGGAGATATGGATTTTAAAAATTCATTTAGACTAGTTTTTGTTAAAAATCAATAACCACGATATGATTATTTATTGGTCATCTGTACATATTTTCGGAAATATAATCCTCCTCCTCTTCCATACGAAAATATTTTTTCCATTTTAATGGTTAACATAAATATTTATAGAGCTTTTAAATTTTCACTAATTTTAAATTTAATTAATGTAAATAATTTTGTTTTTATAAATAGAATGCTTTTATTATTGCGACCTGAAAAGTGGTTACTAAAATATTCAATAAAACTTTTTTGAAATCCACATAGCACTGAGACTGATTTAAAACTTATTATTATTTAAAATTTATTATATAAATAAGATTTCATAAAGTTTTTAGATGGTTTCATGAAGCTTAAGGTTTATGCGAAGTCTTCAGAAAGTTCCGCATGAAATTTTCTTTCAATCACATATATATATATTCATATAAAAGCATTCTAAAAAGAAATTAATAAACTACAAAGAAATATGCATTATGTCAATTTTTATATATAATAATTTAAAAAAAAATTGTTCACAAAAATTTTCGAATGAAAATTTGATTAAAAAAAAAAAACGTTTTAAAATATTGATTCTCTTCCTGGCTATGAGGAAGAATGATTCTTTGACGTGACTCTTCCGGTTTTTATTCTAGGTCTTGTAGGTGATCCGGTAGTGGCGTCACGTCTATCGAACATTCACGGAGGCAATGGTCCCGTTGAATTAGCGAGTGCACGAAGGTTACGCCTCGAGAATGAAAGATTGGTGGCGGAAGTTGCACGATTGAGGCGATTGTTGTTGAGTGGAGCGTCACGAGGCGAAGTTGGTGGCGAGGATGCTGCTTTGGAAGAAGAAGCACGCTTTGTCGCCTTGGAAATGGAACTTCAACATGCCAGGGAAGCATTGCAAGCACTCAAAGCTGATCGCAAAAGACTCAAAGCTGAAAAATTTGATTTATTGAATCAAATGAAAGCTCTCTATGGAACTCTTGAGGACAAGGAACGAGAACTTCGCGATTTTATTCGAAATTATGAACAGGTGAGTGTTTTTTTTACACATCTTTTAATTCGTAAAGATTTTTTTTTCAAATTCATTTCTCTTTCATAGCTTCCAAGGTAATTCATATTAGTATTTATCATAAAAAAAACTATAGACACTGTCTATGTCAAAATTACAACTGACCAGTGAGGCTTAAAAAGACACTAAACTTTTTTTTAAATCATCAAATTCATTTAAAAATCTTTACAGAAAGGGGTTTTTTCAAGGTTACTGATTAAGAATCTTACATTCGTAATCAGTGATCCCGAAAAGCTCTGAGTAAAGAGTTTCCGTAGAGACAATTGTTATACTTGCGAGTTTTTGGAGTTGGTATTTACGAATTTGAAGTTTGTTTTTCAAAATTCAAAATGTCGGATCCAAAATGGTAGAGGAATTTTTAAAAATTTATCGAAGTTACTTGAAAATTACGTAGCGGTTTTGTATGTTGCAAAAACTGAATCTAACATTAGATTTGTAGTTAATACAAACATTCTAGCAACAAAACAATTTTGAGATTACCTTCCACTCCAGTTGTGCCAGTTGCCAGGGTTAATGTAGAATTAAAGAAGATTTAATATGTTGGATCAATGTAATAAAGTCAATATAGGTTCAAAGTACGGTTTCATACTGATTTTCTTTTTATTTTATTGAATTTCAATTTAATTATGAAACTTGTCTCTAGTTTTGAATTTCCGCAAATATCAAATAAAACTATCCTATAAAGTTTAAATGAAATTCACGATTTCCATTAAGAGTTTAAGTGTAATCGAGACTTGATGGTTTATTCTTGAGCTTTGTAGGTTGATATATATATATATATATATATATATACTGAATTTCAAGTTTTATTCAAGGAGGTGTTTCAATTGTCAGCGCGAATGAAAGTTGCAAAACGACCGCAATGCTTTCATTAAGCGACAAGAATTTCTCATCCTCTTTGAATGTTATAACATGGACTATTTCATTTTCATGAAGAGACACACTACTCACAAATATATACACACCACTAGACTAGTTATATAGCTACATGTATATAGGATGATCAAGTCGAGAGAAAACATTTTCCTGGAGTTACTATATTGTACGTTAAGGATTTTCATTCCTCATTTCAATTTGTTTTCCAACAGATTTTATTGTAGAAACTATTGTATATTTGAGGAACTTTAAAAGTTCTTTAAAACATCAGTAATATATAGTGACAATTAAAATTTCATTTCCTGAATGTAAATATTCTTTCTCTCGACCAGTTTAACTTGGCGATATTCTTTGTCCTCGCACTGATAAAGAAGGGTGTTAACAAAAGTGACATTTTATCCAATTGGTTTGGCGAGAGCTACCTTTCTACACTGGTCCTGGTCATTTTATCTCTAAAACGAGCCTTCCTTGCACAAATTCCCACTATACAATGGGGGGATTTGCTTTTAGGTATCGAGTTAAATCTACCGTGGCTTTATCTGCTATTTGGAGATTTAGAAAAATTGCAACAGAATGAGAAACTGAAGAGATACCAAAGGGAAAAGTTGACCTTTAGAAAAAATTTATTTTCTTCACTTTTAGTTAGAAACGGTGATATTAGTTGAAATCAATATAGTTTAATTTTCAATAATAATTGTTACAATATTTTTAATATAGTTTTTAACGTTGAAAAATTATGTCGTTGATAGAATCAATAAATAAAATATTGAAAAAAAAGAAAGTAAAGAAAAATAAAAGTATTTTCTTTCTGATAAAGCTTGCTGTCAATTTCCTGACAACTTTATCGTCTTTCTTATTTCTTTTTATCCTTTTCATAACGTAGTTCATCTCTTTTGAGTGTCGATGTTCAAATTCAAACCATCACCCTTAGTATTTTCTTTTCCGATTTTTTTTTTTTTTTTTTTGACATCAACTCTTTTATTCTCTTCTGCTATCTTGGTTCATCTTCAGTTTGTCGCGTGATCTTTTGCCTTTGGCTATATCTAAACTTCTTCACGTAAATACGAGCAAATAATTTAAGATTACAAGGCAAAAGGGGGTGACCTTCTTTTATCCTTATTCAAGCACGATAGCGTGTCTTATTTCTTAGCTATTCAAGTTGACACGATAATCCTTCGTCGGATAAGCAGAAGCCCCTCCTTTTTACAAGAGGAGAGACACGCGATTGCTTATGAGAGGGCGGTGATGAAGAAAAATAAAAAAAGAAAAAAAAATGCCACATCGTAAAGGGGAATAAATTTCCTTATCAAATGAGATCAAATACATTTGAATTCTTGCATAATTTATTTTCCTGATTCAAAACATAATTGGTTTAGAGATATTTTCTTATTGAGTAATTGTACAAATTTTAAATGTCACAAACCTATTTGCCACTATCAGACAATTTCTGAAGCAGATTCGAAAGGAAAAAAAGATGTCACTTTTAAATTTCCTTAACTCATTAAGGGCCAAATGTACAAAAACTGTCCATGAAGTTGGAATTCTTGTTTTTTATAATAAAAGGTAAAGAGAAAAAATTTTGCAACACCCATGTCTTATAGTTAAAGAATCGCTCTTTCAAATTCCCTAATGAAAATTAACGTATTGAAATAAATATATGGTGTGAATTTATCAATCTTCCAAGTCAAAAGTGTTGAAAATAAAAAAACACTGCATTTTTTTGACGTTTCGACGGTACGACCGTCCTCATCAGAAACTATAAAAAATTATTTATTAATTAATAAAATTACAAAAAATTTTTTTACAAAGAAAAAAATTTATAAAAATTGTATAATGAAAAGAAATAATTAAAAATTTTCTTTACAGTAAAATTTTAAAAGAAAAAGAAAAATTGTCTGTGGTCGACGTTTGGACAGACCACGATCAACTGACAAGACTAACAAATGTAATTGCGAAACACACAGATACCCTTAACCATAATTTTGACTTTGACAACTTTAATATTCTTGACAACGAACCTGTTTGGCAAAAAAGACTGATTTCTGAAATGATTCACATAAATTCACAAAACAAACCATTAAACAAAAAAGATGATACAAAAAATCTTAACAAATTTTATAAAAACTTTTTCAAAAAATTATAACATTAGATTTTCCACAAATAACAATATTTTTCCTACTGAATCATTTTAGTGATCATTTTCTCAATATATATAGTAATATACTAAGTGTACATCTTCGCTATTTCTCTTTTATTTTTGTGAAAGTTCATTGACTTCCTATAACTTATACTTATTGTTTCTATATTGTTAGTCTTGTCAGTTGATCGTGGTCTGTCCAAACGTCGACCACAGACAATTTTTCTTTTTCTTTTAAAATTTTACGGTAAAGAAAATGTTTAATTATTTCTTTTCATTATACAATTTTTATAAATTTTTTTCTTTGTAAAAAAATTTTTTGTAATTTTATTAATTAATAAATAATTTTTTATAGTTTCTGATGAGGACGGTCGTACCGTCGAAACGTCAAAAAAATGCAGTGTTTTTTTATTTTCAACACTTTTGACTTGGAAGATTGATAAATTCACACCATATATTTATTTCAATATTTTACCAAGTGATAAATTTTAATATATGAGAAAATTAACGTATGTTTATAAATAAACAAATTGCAGGCAGATTTTTAATAAAAAAACACGATTTTTTTTATTTATGAATTTTTTTGGGCACTTTAACTTAAAGGAATATTTTTTATTGCTACATATATCGTGACAATAATAGTTAAGCTTCAAGGTACTAGTATTTATTTTATTTTATTTCAAAATGGCGATTAAAATATGTTTTTTTTATTTTCAAATTCATAGTAGGGTGTACGAAATCCTTAGAACAAAAAAAAAATGATCAATTTGGGTTAAAATTTGTTACTCGGGGATTTTTCGGGTCGCTGATTACAAATCTGAGGTCAGATTTTCAAATTTCAGAATGGCGAATCCAAAATGGCGGATAACTTTTGCAAAAATGATCAATTTGTCTTAAAACTTGTTACACGGGGGTTTTTGGGGTCGCTGATTACAAATCTTAAGTTATATTTGTAAAATTTTAAATAGAAGAGCCAATATGGCGATCGATTTTCTAAAAATCCAGTCATTTTGCAAAAAAGATTGATTTTTAAGAATTCGATGTTAGATCCGCCATTTTGAATTTTGAAAATCTGACCTCAGAATCATAATAAGTGACCCCAAAAACCCCCGAGTAACAAGTTTTAAGCCAAATTGATAATTTTTGCAAAAGTTGTCCGCCACTTTGAATTCGCCATTTTGAATTTTGAAAGTCGGACCTCCGATTTGTAATTAGCGACCCCAAAAACTCCCGAGTGTTAGAAGATAATTAATATTTCAGAACCCCTTGATGTTACTTGTCTGAATTACTAATTGAGATTTGTTTCCTGTTTTATTTTGACAGATGAAAGGACTGAAACTGAAAGTCTTTGTCAGTAAAAATCTTCTGTCTTAAAAATAATTGTATGACCACTTCAAGTATGACTATATATTTGATGCCAATAAATAGAAATTGATATAAAAAAAATCAAATTTTCAAATTTTTTTCAGTTACTTTAAGAAAAAAAATTCTTCCTTGAAAATGACCAGTTTCTGGGGAATCACCCATAAATATGGGGACAAAGAAATTCTTTAGAAAGTATATAGTGACGATAATCGCATTTGAAACTTACACTGATAGGTCACACTAGACACCTGTCAGGGGACTTTGTTATTGGGCTCGACTATATGTATATTGTAAGTGGATTAGGTTTCTTTAAAAATCATCACTGCAGAAAACAGCAAATTATCAAGTTTCAAGAAGTTTAACAGCGATTTGAAAGTATAATTAATTCGCTTTAACATAATTACAAAAAAAATTTTCATTCTCATTTTTCCTTATTTTCTTATACAGAAAACAATTATACTATTGCCATCAATTTAATAATTATTTACTATTAAAATTTTGTATTTCAATACCCAGTTTTCCCTGTTTAAAAAAATGTTTAGTAGATAGGATTTTTCAAAATTTCAGAATTTTAGTGATTTTTTATTTTTGAATATACCTAATTTCCTTAAAAATTCATCAATTTTAAAAGTTTTCTTTTTTAATTGTGTGTTTTTACGTAAAAATTTCAAAAATTCAGTGCAAAAAATACTAGAAAAATATTTTACTATATTTTTTGCAACACGGAGAAAAAAAGTTAGCCATATTAGCTAAAATTTAGCTATTTTAGCTAACCCTATTTGTTATTATATGGACAGCAATTTTCGTTAGCTAATACAGCTAAAAATTAGCTACTATATCTAAAATAGTTTGCTGTAACAGCTAAATATTAGCTACTGTAGCTAATAATTAGCTATCCATATAATAGCAAACTCATTTTTCTCCGTGAATATTTTCGTAATTTTTTAAAAATTTTCAAAATGTTGAATTTTCTTTAAATCAAAGATATAGGGAAATCTAGTCAGTACCCCATCAGCCCCGCAGATTTTAATTTCCGTACGGAATATAATAATTGTTAAAATACAAGAGAAATACAATTATATTGTTTAATATTAAATTATGTGTTCACCTCAAAGTTAGTTGTAATTTTTTTTAATTAAATACTTGAGTACAAAGCATATATATAAATAATAGTTTTGTTGATTTAATAGAAAATTTTGTGTCAAGTTATAAACTATACCGGTGCATGAAAGTAGTTTACTAGTATATATTATACAGTTGGTGTTGGTTTTGTTGGGGGTGGAGTTACTGCCCGGATGTGGGTCTGTTTGACCGTTGATTACAGCGGATGCGTGAAAACGAGGCGACCTTGGGACGTCTTCAACAAGGCGGGGGGCTTCCATCTGAGGAACGAGACCGTGAGAGAGAACGAGAACGCTGGAGTCTCCTAAGGGCAGCGAGAGACGAGGCGGATCGGAGTCTTACTTTAGCAGCCAGTTTAGCCGATAAGGAAGCTGCTTTATCTCATGCACATGCTACCATTAAAGAGGTTCATATATATATATACTTTTCCATAATAATTAGACTTCCAAGAATTTCCTGCGGCTCTTTCTTTTCTCATAACCTTCATTTTTTCCAATTTTTTTTTTCTCATTTCAGTCTTATTTTTTTGCTTTTTATTTTAATTCACAAAGTTACACTCCTGTGTCCGTCCTTCCTCCTCTCATCGAGTTTGACCTAGTGAGCTAACATTTGGCACATATTTGTATTTTTTAGCTTCAAAGACAACTGGTTGAACGTGGAGGCGGAGGTGGAATTTGTTTGAGTGATCAGGAGTCACTGGTATCATTTCCAAGGGGCAGTATAAATGGTGCAGCAACGCCTGGAGCAGGAAGTAGTAGTGGTGGTGGTGGTGGCGGCGGAGGATGTGGCATAATTCCACATCTAGGATCTCAACAGCCCCTTGGCGGTAGTGTGGAATTAGGAATAACCGTCGGCAATGCCAGTGGAGGTGTGGGGACTGGATCCACTTCCGGTGGACAAGCTGGCGATCGTGGAAGTTGCAGTGCAGACAGTGGTGTTCGTGGTTCCAGCGATCGGGAAAGTGGTGGCGCCACCAGTGTCGGAGGAAATCTCTCAGATTCGACAACCGACGGTGAGCCACTGCAGAAATTTTCCAGTAATTTCTTTTTTACTTTTTTTACTTAAATATATACACTTAATTAAACAATTAACTAATTCTTCGTAGGATAAAATTATTACATTTCCATATAGGGTAAGTGTATCAATTACTGCTGATGTCCCAATTACTGCGATTTCTATAAAATTAGTAAAACTTACTAATTGAGAACATAAAACTGTTTCAAAATGACTTTAAAAATTATTCCAAATAATATTTGATATTATATCCACGAAATATGCATATTTCGACTATTATCAAATGAGTTATTCAAGTTTCAATTGAACCTATCGCAGTAATTACAGCATGCGTATATTTTTCTCATGCTCCTATTACTATGTGGTCTATTCAGTCAACCTAACCTCTAAATTAACGCTTATAGCGCTGCAGTAATTGGTGCACACGGTGCGCAGTAATAATAGATACTAATAGTGATTTAACAAAAGAATTAAATCATTATTTTATTTACACTTCTATTATTTTATCATTTAAGCCGGCGGTCTTGGGTTGTACATCACAGTAATTGGGATATTTACCCTGATTCTTTATTTTTTCTATAAATATTAAATTAATAATTTTCTAAATTTCTGAATTAATTTGCAATGGATTTTTTATAGAATAATTACTTGCGACATTTAATAGGGCGCACATGAAAATTCCCCAAATTCAATTTGCTTTTGACAGAAGTGCATAGTAATTGAATTGTGATTTAACAGAATTTGCGCGTCTGACCTAATTTTCCATTAATCGAATTTTCTTTTGAGCCAATCATAATTTTCTATATATTTTATATTATATATAGAATTACTTGCGGAGAAATCACACCGCTAAATATTTATGTATTGTAACAAAGTTTAGTTTAATAAATATTTTTCTAATAATTTTTGCAGTCTTAGACGCAAATTATTTTAGCTAAGATTTTCAGCAATAATATATGAATGGAAATAAAAAGTACAAATTTCTAGAATCGATGATGACGAATTCGGTGTCAGGTTTTGAAAATTCAAAATGTCGGATCCAATATGAGGGACATATTTTATATTTACTAAAATCGATAAACACTTTTTTTTACCCCCAGGATTTTTGGATTACAAATTCGATGATTAAAGATTAAAAAGTAGTGTAGAGTGATTATATGCCACTTCTATAAAAATAAAAATTAATTTGGGTAATTTTTATTCGTGTTCTTGTTTAATCAAAAAAGAATTAGAACTGTGCCAAAACGGAGAAAATTTTTTTTGTTTTGTAAAAATCGTTTATGAAAATGAAAAGTGAAAGAGAAGCTTCTATACATCGAAACTTTTTTAATCATATTTTTATTCGAGATTTTCTTTGAGAGGGAAAGTTTTAATGATCAAACTTTTTAGTTATATATACATATATATATATTATTGTGTCTTGAAAGTCCACTTTGTCCTCAAAAAGTTTAGTACATGGTACTGTTAAAAATTTCCACTTAGGTAGCTCTTCTGATATAATTGAAAACATTTAAAACTTTTTTTAAAAAAAAAAAGTTAATGAGATTCTGTAATGTCTTTTTCTTTGGAATACCTATTATAAGTATTTCTTTTTTTAAGAATCCTCAATTTTCATATAATAGTGCATTTTTAGATCCTCAAACATAACACTGGCATGAAACTCTGTTAAACACTAGATTACAATCGCTCAAAAAAATATTTTTTTAAATATACATATATTATCAATTGAAAAAATTACAAAATAGTGGGTTTATAAATTAATTTTTGTATAATTTATTTCAGATGCAATCTAATTTAATTTTTAAAAATATTTACAATTAATTTTTTTTATTAAATGAAAATTGATTAAATTTTTAAAATTCGTTTATAGTATTTGGTTCAAAAAATAATAATTTTAATAATTAAATATAAAAAATTCTTCACTTCAATTCCGACACCGAAATAAATGAATAAAATTTAATTAATTATGGCGCACTCACACCTTTTTTGGCTGCCTGCCTGCCTGCAGGTTTCCATGGCAACGCACGAGTGTGAGTGAGACAGAAAATTTGAATATTCAAATTTTTAAATTTTCTGTCGCACTCACTCTCATGCGTTGCCATGGTAATCTGCAGGCAGCCAAAAGGTGTGAGTGCGCCCTTACCCACTGTTGGTTCAATTTCTTACACGACATTTGATATTGACATTATTCTGCACGTTAATATTATATAATTAGAAAATGACACTTTTTCATTAACTCTTTTGACTTGTATTTAAATGTATATAATATTTATGGATAATAATATACATATATAAGTAAAGAATAAAAAAACAGCATAAAGAACACACAAACATTGCTCGAGTCAACATTGCGAGGTCTACATCTTGGAATACTGCTTTTCTAAGTGAAAATTGATTTTAAAATATGAATTTAGTTTTTTTTTTTAAAACCCTATATTTCGTACAGGCACACCAACAATAACGGTCGAGGGAAGTGGTCTCGATATGGACAGCATTTCCGTGGTATCCTCAGTAGCACCATCTCACATGTATCAATGTAAGTGTTCTACATCATGATCATCAAATGCCATTGACGTCATTTTCATTACCAGAGTACGGATTCCAACCAACCTGGAGTTGAAGGTAACTATCAAAATGCGCCAAAGGCAGTTTGCGCCAAACGGCGTTTGACCCAATATGCTATAGTTAGTGTCATTCTCGATGGTGAATGAGAAATCTGTAAAAATGATAAAAGTGAAGGTCTGAGAAGCCCGCGAGATGTCTATAGTATCACAGTTTGTGTATTATTACAAATAGACATTGGCGTGGAGATTTAGGGAATGCAGAAAATAAAGTGAAATAGTTTTCTTCGCGGAAATAGTGAACGTGATGTTTTTATAAATAAGTAAATTGCTTATTTGATTAATTAATGAATTAATATTATGAATTAATTAATTAATATTATCAATTGATGGAATAATTAATTAATTAACATTATTGATATTATCAATTGATTGATTAATTAATTAATTAATTAATATTATCAATCAATTAATTAATTAATTAACAGTGACTGGAAGAAATAACGAGTAGTAAAATTATGGATACCAATATTGAGGTTAGTTTAAATTTTATTTTCAATGAAAATAATAATAATTTTGCGATTGCATAAAAATTTATTTTTTTCAGCGATCTCATGTAATGAATTTTCATCTAATTACATCAATTTAAACGCATGTAAAATTCACTGCGAAAGTCTACTCAACTGTAAATTGGTTTTCATTAAGAAAATATTTTTACAACAAACATAGAATAAGTTGATAATAATAATAATTTTAAATTTCTTATAAATTATGATGGCATTTTTTACTTTTGGAAATAAAATTTTTATCCTATTCTCCAACTATGCTGATTAAAATAATTCTATTCCTTGCTTGATAGTTACCAGGGTTATCACAGTTATTGTTAACATGAACCTAATTGTTGTTCGATTTAGTAAACAATTATTTTTCGATTGGCTAAAAATTTATTTTTTTCACCGATCTCATGTAATGAACTTTCATCTAATTACATCAATTTAAACGCATGTAAAATGGTAAATAAAATATCAAACTGCGAAGGTTTACTCAACTGTAAATTGAATTTCATTAAGAAAATATTTTTACAATAAACATGGAATAAGTTAACAATGATTAGACACCTTCTAAATCATATTGGCATTTTTCATTTTTGAAAATAAAATTTTTATTCTATTCTAAAACCATGCTAATTAAAAAAATTCTATTCCTAGCATAATAGACGCCAGAGTTATGATTGTTATTGTGAACATGGGCCTAATTGTTGTTCGATTTAGTAAACAATTATTTTTCGATTGGATAAATAATTATTTTTTTTAGCGATCTCATGTAATAAATTTTCATCTAATTAGATCAGTTTAAACGCATGTAAAATGGTAAATAAAATATCAAACTGCGAAGGTTTACTCAACTGTAAATTGAATTTTATTAAGAAAATATTTTTACAACAAACATGGAATAAGTTAATAATAATAATAATTTCAAATTCCTTATAAATTATGATGGCATTTTTTACTTTTGGAAATAAAATTTTTATCCTATTCTCCAACTATGCTGATTAAAATAATTCTATTTCTTGCTTGATAGTCATCATGGTTATCACAGTTATTGTAAACATGAACCTAATTGTTGTTCGATTTAGTAAACAATTATTTTTCGAATGGATAAAAAATAATTTTTTCAGCGATCTCATGTAATAAATTTTCATCTAATTAGATCAGTTTAAACGTATGTAAAATTTAAACTGGTCTAATTAGATGAAAATTCATTACATGAGATCGAGGAAAAAAATTTTTTTTTTTGCAATCGAACAATAATTGTTTACTAAATCGAACAACAATTAGGTCCATGTTCTCAATAACCATAATAACTATGGTGTCTATTATGCTAGGAATAGAATTTTGTTAATTAGCATAGTTTTAGAATAGAATAAAAATTTTATTTCCAGAAATAAAAAATGCCAATATGATTTGGACGATGTACAAATTATTATCAACTTATTCTATGTTTGTTGTAAAAATATTTTCTAAGTGAAAACCAATTCACAGTTAAGTAAACTATCGCAGTGAAATTTACATACGTTTAAATTGATGTAATTAGATGAAAATTCATTACATGAGATCGGTGAAAAAAATAATTTTTTATGCTATCGCAAAATTATTGTTTACTAAATCGAACAATAATTAGGCCCATGTTCACAATAACAATAATAACTCTGGCGTCTATTATGCTAGGAATAGAATTTTTTTAATTAGCATGGTTTTAGAATAGAATGAAAATTTTATTTTCAAAAATGAAAAATGCCAATATGATTTAGAAGGTGTCTAATCATTGTTCACTTATTCCATGTTTATTGTAAAAATATTTTCTTAATAAAATTCAATTTACAGTTGAGTAAACCTTCGCAGTTTGATATTTTATTTACCATTTTACATGCGTTTAAATTGATGTAATTAGATGAAAGTTCATTACATGAGATCGGTGAAAAAAATAAATTTTTAGCCAATCGAAAAATAATTGTTTACTAAATCGAACAACAATTAGGTTCATGTTAACAATAACTGTGATAACCCTGGTAACTATCAAGCAAGGAATAGAATTATTTTAATCAGCATAGTTGGATAATATAGGATAAAAATTTTATTTCCAAAAGTAAAAAATGCCATCATAATTTATAAGAAATTTGAAATTATTATTATTATCAACTTATTCTATGTTTGTTGTAAAAATATTTTCTTAATGAAAACCAATTTACAGTTGAGTAAACCTTCGCAGTGAATTTAAACATGCGTTTAAACTGGTCTAATTAGATGAAAATTCATTACAATCGAACAATAATTGTTTACTAAATCGAACAACAATTAGGCCCATGTTCACAATAACAATAATAACTCTGGCGTCTATTATGCTAGGAATAGAATTTTTTTAATTAGCATGGTTTTAGAATAGAATAAAAATTTTATTTTCAAAAATGAAAAATGCCAATATGATTTAGAAGGTGTCTAATCATTGTTAACTTATTCCATGTTTATTGTAAAAATATTTTCTTAATAAAATTCAATTTACAGTTGAGTAAACCTTCGCAGTTTGATATTTTTTTTACCATTTTACATGCGTTTAAATTGATGTAATTAGATGAAAGTTCATTACATGAGATCGGTGAAAAAAATAAATTTTTAGCCAATCGAAAAATAATTGTTTACTAAATCGAACAACAATTAGGTTCATGTTAACAATAACTGTGATAACCCTGGTAACTATCAAGCAAGGAATAGAATTATTTTAATCAGCATAGTTGGAGAATAGGATAAAAATTTTATTTCCAAAAGTAAAAAATGCCATCATAATTTATAAGAAATTTAAAATTATTATTATTATCAACTTATTCTATGTTTGTTGTAAAAATATTTTCTTAATGAAAACCAATTTACAGTTGAGTAGACTTTCGCAGTGAATTTTACATGCGTTTAAATTGATGTAATTTAGATGAAAATTCATTACATGAGATCGCTGAAAAAAATAAATTTTTATGCAATCGCAAAATTATTATTATTTTCATTGAAAATAAAATTTAAACTAACCTCAATATTGGTATCCATAATTTTACTACTCGTTATTTCTTCCAGTCACTGTTAATTAATTAATTAATTGATTGATAATATTAATTAATTAATTAATTAATTAATCAATTGATAATATCAATAATGTTAATTAATTAATTATTCCATCAATTGATAATATTAATTAATTAATTCATAATATTAATTCATTAATTAATTCATAATATTAATTCATTAATTAATCAAATAAGCAATTTACTTATTTATAAAAACATCACGTTCACTATTTCCGCGAAGAAAACTATTTCACTTTATTTTCTGCATTCCCTAAATCTCCACGCCAATGTCTATTTGTAATAATACACAAACTGTGATACTATAGACATCTCGCGGGCTTCTCAGACCTTCACTTTTATCATTTTTACAGATTTCTCATTCACCATCGAGAATGACACTAACTATAGCATATTGGGTCAAACGCCGTTTGGCGCAAACTGCCTTTGGCGCATTTTGATAGTTACCGAACCACAAATCATTTCCACTGCGCTTATTTCGCTCAACATATTTCAAATATTGATGTGCTTCTAAGCCTTAAATATACACGCTAAAAAATTTATGAACAGTGACATAACAAAAGTACAATATTTATAGAATAAGGAAATCTATTTAATAGATTAATTATAACACGTTTAACAATATCTAAAATAGTCACTATTTTCATTTTCTTAAGGAAATTGAATATCTCCATGATAGTTAAAATAAATACTGCTTCAGAGATACTGTATTTATATTCTATTCATAATATATATTTAGTATAGTTAAATCTCATAGAAAATTTTATTTTCTCTATTCTAGCGAAAATGGATTATCGCTAAGGCGATATTAACTATAGGGGAATAGTGTCAGGGTTGGACACTTGGCTTTTTTTAAATAAGGACAGTAGCGCCACCTGTGTGCATACGTGACGAATCTTCTAGTAGTGTAACCTAACTTTTTGTGGCATTACATTTTTGGAGAATCAAAAGTAGCGTCTTCGGTGCAATCGAAGCAAGAAGACTAGAACACTTATACACTTATACAGTTAGGGTTGGACACCCATATTAATTATGAAATTGACACAATTTATAAATAAATTTTATTTTATTGATATTTCAGTGCAAAATTGTGCCAAAGATATTAGAAAAATAATACTTAAATTGTATAAATTTTGTTCATCATTTCATTGAGTTATTTGGAACAATAAAGCATTATTTTTTGTAATTTGAGTTCATTCCTATTTTAAACCCATGAAGCTTTACAATTTGTAAACAATAAGTAAAGATAAACATGAAAAAATAAGAATAAAAAACATTACAAATGTTATTTTACGTTTTTGCCAATAATGCGTTTCGATTTTCAAAAAGTGTCCAACCCTGACTGAAAAGTCCAACCCTGACTAGATTTTTTTTTTTTAAATGTTTATAACTTTTTTAATTTTGGACCACTCAATTTACGGTCCACAGCAAAAGTGTTCCTCTTTTGTAGATCTTTCCACCCATATACCACAATTGACTAAATTTATCTCAATAAAATATTTATAAACAAAAAACCAAAACTGTGTCCAACCCTGACACTATTCCCCTACTTATAACTATTCCAGAGATTATTTTCGCTAGTTTATACAAAGTTTTTTTAGCGTGTAATTTTTGCCAACACATTTGTTTCCTTATAAATTAGTTCAGCTTATATAACAATTTTTTATTTAAAAAATCTTTTTATTTAAATATAGAGGAGAGTGATCATCAATAAATCACTTCTTTTAAAGCTTTAGTAATATTTAAATTTAAAATATTTTCATCACTTTTTTGTACCTATCTGTGAAAAACTCATACGCACTTTTCTAGTAAATAATGCACTTGTTGTATTAATATTTTATCAATGATTAAATTTAAAATTTTTAAGTTTATCGAACTTGATTCGAGGTTATGGCTGTAGTGTACAATGGATCAGTGCTGTAAATTACCGAACAAGTGTTTTAATAATAATTTTATTCTGATTAGAGTTCTGAAATATGTTCTTAACGCCAACTAGTGGTGAAAATTTCAAATAAGTAGGTATCTTGTTGTATTGAATATAATTTGTCGTGATCAAAAAGTTCATTTTTAAATAAAAATAAAGGATCAAAAAAAAATGTGTTGCGTAGTAAGTTGTTCTAATAGTGAACGCAATAATCCTGAACTACAATTTTATTCCTTTCCGAAAAGGTTGTGGCTCAAAGAAAGAAGAGAAAAATGAATAGCAGCTGTTCGTAGAGTTTAATTAATTAATGATTTAATTTAATTTATTTATTATTATAATAATTATATTAATTAATTAATTATTCCCAGTGGGCAAAAAATCATGTTCGTTTTAAAAACGTTTTTAGAACGTTTCATGTCTGCCAAATAATGTTCTGAAACATTTTAAGAACAAAAATGTTCAAATAATGTTCTAGAACATTATTTGGCAGACATGAAACGTTCTAAAAAAGGTTCTTAAAACGAACATGGTTTTCTGCCCACTTATATTCACACACAGCACCGAAAATTCCCCGAAGATTCATTGTATGTTTAACGGTGTTCCGTAATGGCAAGCAGTGGTTGTCTTTTAAAAATGGGGTACATTTAATTTCAAAAATAATACTCTCCCAATTCAGACAGAAATGGCAAAATCGGATAAAATACCAGTTATCCTAAGTTTGTGTACTTTCATTTGCCTTTAAGAAATTAAAAATTTATTCACATATAAAACGACAGGAATCCGATTTGAGAGAAAAATCCTTTTTAAATTAAATGCACCTACGAGGAGCCAAATTTTGAAAGACAGCGGAACACCATTAAAGGTTAACTTGGGAGTATTGAATCGCTGGGTTCAGAAAACATTATTAAAATATTAAAATGTCCACATGTGAGCAAGTGTTTAACGCTAATTAATGATTTAATCAAGATTATTGTTATTAAATTAATACTGTTATGGATATTAACAATAGTTTAAAAAATCCTTGTTTATAATTTAACTTACATGTGTATAATTGTCAGATTAAGCTACCCATTATTTGGAAAAAAAACATCCGCTAGAGGCGCTTCGAGCGACTTTAAATACTTCAGAACTCTATAAATAACTTTAATTTTCTCGAATTTCTAATCGCAACTTAGTTAAAATAACTATTCAGCTTAATAATAAATTTACATAGAAATTCTTTTTATATTTACGATAAAATTTTTTTTTTTTAAATTATTTAATAGAGTTAAATATGAATTTAACGATTTTCTTTTCAAATTATGCATCAAATCGCGATTCAAATTAATATTATTTTATTTATTGACAATTTTTGAGACCATAATGGTGGTTATATTACAACCAACTTCGTCTTTAATGGTCGTTTCATCCTCACTTAATACATTATACGTTATGTGCATTCGAAGCTGACTCTCAAGGACATCGGCTTTCGTCCTCTTTTGTAACCAGTTTCGAAACAATTTTTAATATTAACAAATTACAGTTTCCCTTGTATGAAAATTATTGTTCGGCGCGTATCAAATTAAAAAGCAACTTTTTCATTTGATTTTATCTTCTATTAAAAAATTGGAAATATATTTTTTTTTACATTTTATTAATTTTAAATTTTTATAATGTTAGTAATTTTATTTTAATTAAAAAAAATTGAATAAAAAATTTTTTTAATTTAATTTTATTATTTTAACATTTTTATTTACAATTATATAAATTAAAATTGTAAAATTAACTTTTCACTCTTTTAATTTAGTAATTTATAAATATTTTTTGTATATTTCCTCAAAATTTTTAAATTCACTTTTTAAAATTCGTTGTCGCTATTGTTCTGGATTTAACTTAATTTTCAATTTCATTAGAGTAATTAATTCAAAATTGTGAGCTATTACTACTTAGCAATTAATTAAAAGTTTTCCCTGCCATATTACTCTGTAATTAAAAGTTCTGTTCTAATGATAATATTTAGTTTACCTTAATCTTAATTAAAACCTCGAAAATTATGAATTTAAATATACATATATACATTTAAATCTTAATTTTCAAATATGAATTTAAACGATTATTAAATTTTTCAATAAGTTGAGAATAAATTAAAATAAATTTACTTGTGATTTCACATAATATAGTCACTTTATTTTCGAAAATACAGTATATACACACACACAAACACACCACTTACACCACATTTCATGCATATATATAATTATATAGTTTTGTTATCAGTGCTGGTGCATGTGCATAAATATATTTTAAAAGAGAAGCCTTTTATTATTATTATTATTATTATTATTAAACGCCACACAATTAACAAAAACTGTGTGTTCTTTATGTTGCATATGTGTAATTTATGTATATTTAATCTTCATGGTGAAAGAATCTCAAATTAGAGGATTCATTTTCAGATAAATATTTTTAAATGCTAATATATAGCTATAAATAACATAAATATTAAAATGCATTTTTATGTTTAAAAATTCTGAAAAAAAACTGTTTGCTTCAATGCAATATTCTTTTTTTATTAGCCGTGAAGAGAAAATTTTTCTAAATATAAAAAAAAAAAAATTTTTAGAAAGATATTAAATATTTGTTATTGTATGATAAATAAAAGAAAAATTTCGTTGAATATTTTTTTGTTTTGTTTGTTGAACAGCTACAACACCAAAAGATTGCAGTCCAACTTTGTCGCCTTTAAATGCATTTTCAAGGTCAATGGATAATTCTTCATTATCTCGTTCTGTGGAACAACTGTCGAGTCCTTTGGAATCTGAACCTAGAAGAAATAAACAGACACCACCTGTCATCGCACCTGCCGCACATTCACGATCTTCTGCTACACGTGGTGGCACGTGGGGTTCCATTTCAAGGTAAACCAAATTATAATATATTATTATTTATATTTATTATAAACAAATAATATTTCAGTATAGTAAAGATGGAAATTGTTTTTTTTTCAAAAATCCACATTTTATTTTTTTTAAATCATTTCCATCTTTACTACAATATTATGAAATCCAAAAAATGAACATTTATACAAATAATACTTAATTTAATTATTATTATAATTTTTTTTTAATTTTTATTTTGTCTTCTAATTTTTTTTTAAACAAACAAATTTTTTTTCTCAACAGAATTCGTATTTAAAAGAATTAATAAATTAACAAAATTATTCAAAGTAAGCTTTTGAAAGCAAAATAATCTCATTAACAGAAAAAAATTTTATTATAAATAATTATTGTAAACAAATTTCCAATCAAATTAGCTTTCTTATAAACTTTATTTTTTCTTTTCAATCATTTGTTTAAATAATTTTTTTTTTTTTTTTTGGACAAAAAATGTTCTAAATTGTTAGCAAAAAAATAAATAATCCCTGAAAAAATCATTAAAATCTATTTATTTGGCCTTAATAATATTTTACATTAATATATTTCGATATCATTTACGTAATGAAAATGATAATTAATTTTTCTTAAGTTCATTTTTCTCATAACGTATTTTAAATGAAAATACCTATTTTAAAGAACAAGAATAGGAATATTTATTAGTTATAAATTTTTGATAAATTGGGATATTTTCCAAAGTTTAAAACAATATTTGTATCTAGTTAAATATTAATATTATAATTTAAATTCAAACTTATAGGTACTTTTAGGCTCACGTGAAGTTTCTGTATATTATAGATTGATTATTTTGAAATTTGTTATCTATTCGAAATTAAATTTTTTGATTTTATTGTATTCTTTTAATATTATAATTATCTAATGAATTGAAGAATGTTTTAAAATTGTATGTTAAAAACATCTCTGTAATAGGTTTAGGTAAATTTTTGTCATTTTTTTTATAAAAAAACTGTCTGCTTCTTTTTGTTGTTAGCGACAAAAACTTTAAAGTTGTTCGTCTTTTTTTTATTATTATTCAAGGGTATTTGCTCGTTCACGTCATCGAAAAGCAGTGAATAGTTCAGGAATTGGGAGCATGGGGAACGAAGGTCCGGAAGGATTTGATCCTTATCGATCACGGTCACCACTTACGGAGGAAGGATATGCTGAGAAACTTCGTCTACTGAGAGAAGCTGCATCAGTACCTATGGAAAGATGGAGAGCACCAACAGTTTTGGCATGGCTCGAAGTGGTACTTGGAATGTCTCAATATGGTCCTCGATGTGCTGAAAATGTCAAGTCCGGCAAGGTAATAATATTTCCAAACCAAATTATTTTAATTTACGAGAATCTAAATAAAAAAGTTTTCTAATTTATTTTTTTTTTTGAAGATTGAAATATTTTTTCTTCTTTTTATATCACTTTTTAAGTTAAATAAAATTCTTTAACCAAATAATTTTTTAATAAGTTATTATTCCGAGGCATTCCGAAATTTGTTAGGACGCATGAATAAGTTCTAAACCAATTTTTTTAGAATTATGATTTGATTTTTATTCTAAAATTTAATTTTTATTTAGACGAAAATTAATTTTGACAAACATTTAATATGATGGAATCTCAATTTAACCGAAACTTTCTCTTGTAGAATATTAATTTTGCAGAATTGTAATTTAAAAGAATCTTAATTTTGTAGAAAGAGGATTAGAAAGAATATTAATTTTCTCGAATATTAATGTTCTAGAATATTAAAATGGTCGAAAATCAATTTGCCAGAAATAATTCTGCGGAAACTTCAAATTTGACCAATCATAATTTTCTTGATAATTTCTGATTGGTCAAATTTGAAGTTTCCGCCGAATTATTTCTGTCAAATTGATTTTCGACCATTTGCATTTTTTAAAACATTAATATTCGAACAAGTAAATATTCTGCAAAATTAATATTCTAAAGAATAAGATTCTATTGAATCATAATTCTAAAAAAATTGATTTAGAGCTTATTCATGCTTCCCAATTTATTTCCGAGACAATCAATTTCTATATCCGAATCTAAATTTTATAATTTAACTCAACAAAATATTCTTTCCAAATTAATCCATTTTATTCTGAAGCTAAATTTTAATTCTCTAGAATCCTTTTTTGTAATTCCGAATGAATCCGTTTCAAATCCAAATGAATTGATTCGTAAAGCATTACAATTTATATAATATTACAGGCCTCGGGTCGACTTTAAGGCACAAAAAAAATCGTTTTAGTCGATTTATATTCAAAAAAAAGTCGATTTTTTATTAATTTAACAAAATTTAATTGGTTAATGAATATTTTACTTTAAATAACTAATGTAATTAGATATTAAATTCATTTTATTAATTCTGTAATAAAAACAATTCTATAAGAATATTATCAAGAAAATTTATTTCGAATATTTCAGAATCGAACTAATTGTAAGATAAATTTTCAAAATTTTATATTAGTAGGACAAATTTCTAAAAAACAATTCTTAAACTTCCATTTTTATAATTTTTTGAAGTCGTGATTTAAGCAATTTATTCGAATTAGTAAATTTTGTTATAGTTTTTAGTTTGGATGGTCAACAAATTTTCAGGCAATATTAAATCAAGTTTTTTTTAAATAATAATTTTGGAAGACTTAAAGTTGAAATTTTTAGAAATGGTAATTGAATTTCAAAAATTTTTGTTAATTTTCAAACAATAATTAAATTTTACAGAACTAAAAATAATTTATCAAATAATTTTAGATAACATTTTTTAAAAGTAATTGAATTTTTAAAGATTTACAATTTAGATTTTTGAAATTAATTCAACTTCAAGTGATTTTTAATTAAAATTTTTTAATGATTTCACTAAAAAATTTATTAGAAATTGCAGACAAAAATACAATAATTTGAAAATTTTTTATGTGAAAAATGGTTTCAGATAGTTGAATTTTCGAAGAATATTATAAAAATCATTAAAAATAATTAAATTTCAGGAGAGTTATAATTGAAATTATTAAATTTCAAAAAATTTTAGAAATAATTAAATTTTAGAAGTTTTTAAATTGAAATTTTTGAAAATTGATGAAATATAATAATTATTAATTTGGATAAATTGTAATTTAAAAAAAAATGGATTGCAGGTTTTATTAGAATTAAGTGACACTGAGCTTGAGGCTGGACTTGGAGTGACTCATCCTTTGCATAGGAAAAAGTTAAGACTGGCAATTGAGGAACAACGACAACCGAATTTAGTTCGATATCCTTGTATTGCACAATTAGGACACACTTGGGTCAGTTCTGAATGGTTGCCTGACCTTGGACTTGCTCAATATTCTGAAAGCTTCGCTACAAATATGGTAGATGCGCGAATGCTGGATCACCTTAGTAAAAAGGAACTCGAGAAGCTTCTTGGCGTTACGAGAAAGTTTCATCAAGCGAGTATCGTTCATGGAATTCATTTACTTCGAATGCTCAACTACGATCGACAGGTACAAAATAAAATTCTTTATCTAATTCTCTCAAATTTGTACAATATATAACTTCAATTTTCTATATATACTTTTTTATACGATTCGTTCGTATAGCTATAAGAAATATTTATTTAAAAGAAACAATTTTTTAACATTTTATAGGTAGATTAAAAAATATATATTTTTTAATCACTATATTGGGATATTTTTCATTTTTTCTCAATAAGCATTGAATGCAATCCTAAAAAAAAAGTTTAGGTATATTTATGCACAATAAATTGTTTATTTAATAAGCAATTAAACATTTTTGTAATTTTTTTTATAGGTATAATTTAGGAGATGATTGAAAAAATAATTAGCATCTCTACTTTTATCTTAAAAAAAAAATATTGTAGTAATAAGTACAATATTAAAAAATTACTCACTTTTAGAGAGCTGTTCGCAAACACTATTCTTGAACGTAATAAACATTTAATAAAGTCCGCTTTATACATTAATATATTTAAAAAATTTTATAACTCTCAAACAGCACAATACTTAATTTTTTTTATTTTCTACAATTTCTCAAAAAAATCTGTTTTCTTAAATAGTTTTTTTCGAATTTAAATATTATAAAAAAATGTAAAAAATGAATTGAGCGCTAATGGAGAGTAATAAAATTTTTAAATATTAATGTACCGTAAAAAGGGGTACTCAAAAAAAAAAAATTCAAATAAAAGTGTAAATATGTAAAACGCCCATTAAACTTTAAATTAAATATTATTTAATTACATAGTCTTTGCTTCCATTTTAAAAATCAGTATAATTTTGTCGAAAAATTGAAATAGAGAATTTGAGAATTAAGAGGATTTTTGGGGAAAAAATTAATAAAAATTTAATTTAGATACTTGATTTAAAATATTTTCCTTTTATCAAAAACTATAAATTAAAATTTGTTAATTATATTTAGCAAATAAAAAAAGTAAATAAAATAAAAATTAACTTTTTTAAATTCAGTTAAAAAATAATTTCCACTTTTCAATGTATAGTACATACAATTTAAAATTTGGAATAAAAAATCAAATAGCTTCAGAAATTATTTAATGAAAACTAATGAAATTGTTTGTTTTTTTAAAACAAATTTAAGGCTCTCGCAGTTAGAAGGCATAATTGCGAACAAATAAACATGGATCCTCTTGTTTGGACAAACAAAAGGTTTATTCGATGGGCAAGAAGTATCGATTTAACTGAATATGCGGACAATCTAAAGGGTAAGAGTGCTCTTTTCAATTAAACAAAAGTTTTATAAAAAATAAATATAAAATTCTTTCAAGCATGCAATTATAATAATTAAAAATTATTAATAGATTAAAACTTTTTAGACGCTGACGCTCTTTATATTAACTTTGAAAGAAAAGAATATATAGAGCAAGATATTCTTTTAATGAAATATTTTATTTCTCAAGTTTCAAACTCAAATCAGTTTTATTTCCATAGTATAGGTATATAGTTGTTAGATTTGTGTCTGGAAAAGGAAAAGTTACACAAGTAAAATTATCAAAGAGTTTTCTCACTTCACAAAATCCTAACGAAATGAAATCCTTTCATTTATTGTCACAGCAGTTTTCAACTGTCTTTGATTTTCTCTAATTAAACTTGTTGCGTTAACCTAATAGTGTTTCGACGTGACACTTGTTTTAAAAATTGCTACTGTTTCGTTCATTTAATTAATTTGAAGAGAAATTGTCTTGCAATTTAGTATAGTAGTTTTTCTATTTCATTTTTCAAAATATATTTAAATTTAAATAAAATGCAATAATTTGAAGAGAATATTATTGTTTTGTTCCTGTTATGTGGCACAAAATTTCTATTTGATAAAATCGCGCCCAAATCGATTGTTTATTCGGACATTTTTTAATTTCGAATAAAGGAAAATTTGGCGTTTTAAGAATTTCATCTGCAATAAAATTCTTTCAAATGAAAATTCTAATTAGTGAATTTTTATGAGAGGATCATATACGTTTGTAATCTATGTATGTGTTGTCGAGAAATACGGAAATTATTTACAGATTCTGGTGTCCATGGAGCTTTGGTAGTTTTGGAACCTTCCTTCACTGGCGATACAATGGCGACAGCATTGGGAATTCCTCCTGCTAAACATATGATTCGACGACATCTCACAGCAGAACTCGACGGTCTTGTACTTCCAGCAAGGTACTCAGTCTACTGTCATCCAGATGCCACCCTGGACAACGCTCATTTATAATCAACGAGCATTTTACATTCCCCCATTCCCTCTCATCATTCCCCCATTAATATCAGCCCCATCGAATTTACGAACTGATTTCAGTCTTATAAATAATCCCCCCCCCTTAAAAAATGTGGGAATCACACAATTCATAAATCTAACATTAAACTTTGCGTCCCTGCTTTAAAAAAAAAAAAAATCCACTATTATAAGAAGATAACAAAGTAAATTATTTCTAACCAATTTTTTATTTTTACCATAATTCATGAAAATTTAATTTTAACAATTGTAATTTAATTATCAACAATTTACAATTCATTAAAATTTTTAATAAAAGTTTATTTTTAATTTAATTCGAAATGAATATTTCAATTTTTTTGTTAAATAAAATTAAAAATATTTAAATAACATCTTTTTAGAAAGATGATAATTTAAACAAAAAATGAGGTTGCAAAGTGATGGTTTTTAATTATTCAAAAGATTTCAAAGCAGGGACGACAAATATAGAAACAAACGAATTTTTATTGTCGATTGTTTCTTTATCTTATATATATAATATTAAATGAAATTTTTTTGAGAAATTGAATGCAAAACGATACATGCGATTAATCAATGGTAAAATTTTAATATTATTTTGATAAACTCATTTTTTTTTTTTTAATTAAAAAACAATATATTTGTTTACTGTCTATGAAAAATGGTTGATAATATAAAAAATGTAGAATAATATAAATAAATTATTTTTTAAAAAAATATATTATTTTCTTTATAAAATAGTTTAGTATACCCAGAGAAAAAAATAGATATATTTTAATTTAAGAAAATCTTGTAACTAAATAAATATTTTATTGTTTCAAATAAATTTTATATGAAACAAATAAATAATATTTAGTTCGAATAAAAAATGTTTCTCTGATTGTAGAAGAAATATTTATTTTTTAAATATATATAAATAATAAAAGAATCGTTGGTAAACAAGTTTTTTAAATAGTTCAAAAAATTTTGCTAATTTATAATCAAATAAAAAATGCATGTCGCGTTATATTTTCCATTGTCGCGTCGCATGTCGCGTTTTATCAATTTTTCGTGAGCAGACGCCAATGTGGAAAGAGCTTATAAAATCCATACGTAAATATTCAAAGGATCAGTTAAATTTCAAACAAATAATGCCATAAAAATAATTAAGAGTAAAAAATAAAATATGTATTATATATAACTAAAAAAAATCAAATAGAGTATAATATAATTAAATAAGAGAAAAAAAATAGACTGGTTTTAAAACACAATTTTCATTTAGAAAAATTAGAAAATACAATTAGCGAACAATTCTGTTAAATTAATATTTCATTTTTGTGAGAATTTTGATAAATATAAATGTTTTTAAATGAATATTATAATAAATAAAAATTCGGTAAATTAGACAATTTGCTATGAAAAAAAAAAATCGGCCCAATATAAAGTTTGCTAAATTAATAAATTCCATATAATTTGGAATTCGACAGATTAAATAATCGGAAATTTTGTTTTTAACTATTTAGTAATTTCCTTTTAATCGCGATAATGCATAATGAAATTGTCGGTTACAGTATTAAACGTACGTATTAAATTAATGACTTTGCTTTCCTGTCGTTTTCCCATTAAAAAACGCTCGTAAAATTCCTGTTCGGCGTATTTTTTTTTATAGTTTTCGGTCTATGAATCGGTACTTAAGAAAAGAATTTTACATCCTTAATGTGGGCACGTGAACTTCTAGAATGATAACAATGATAATAATAATATTTGAATTTAAATTTTTTAATTTTATATATTAAAAATATAATTAAAATACTCATTTAGAAATTGTAAATGAGATTTTCCATTTAAAGAATTTTTTTCTTTTATTTATATAAATTTTATATCAATTTTTAATTTTTTTAATTTCAAATGATTATAAAATTTATTTCAACATGGAAATTTTTTTTCTAGCTATGAAATACTTTTATGGTATTTTAATTTTTGATTTAATATTTGAATTTCAGGACTTTAACTTTAACTTTTAACTTTACTTTACATATTATAAAAGTTCTGTAAATTTAAGGCTGAATTTTGTTTGAATTTCAGATCCTGTAAATTAATCTGTATAGGATGTATAAAAAAAAGAAACTAGTATGAAATAATGCAGATAAATATTAAATTTAGTATGAATTTTTTCTAAGCTTCATTTCCAAAAGTGTCTGCAAAAATTTCTTATTATAGTGTTTTCAACGAATAATGGAAGCTTTAAGCTCTTCCCGTTTAAAATCGATTACAGTCCAAATGCTTCCAGAGTTCATTGTTTGATCATCTCGATGAAAATAAAAACCAACTTTAAAAATAGAAAATAATATATATTATAAATATATATTTTTTTTTTCTTATTGAAAATGATAATTTTATTAGAATATTTTGAAACAAAAATTTATGAATTTTTTTTTCTAAAAACTATAATTTATTTTTAATTAAATTAAAAATTATAGTTTGTCAATAATTAATTTTCGATTCATTTTGATCGAGATGATTTTATTTTGCATATTGTTAATGTACTCTTTAATCATACACATACTATACCTGAAACAATCAAGATTACATGCACGTAGATACAAAATATACTATATATTAATATACAGAACAGTCGACATAATGTACATATACAAACATTATTCAGTCCTTTTTAAAATATCCAAATCAAATGATCGCTTTATTAATAGTATTTAGCGACTTGTGATCTGGATCTACAGTCTAGTCGATTAAAAAAAAAAAAAAAATAGCAATATATTACCAAAGAAAAAAAAAATTATACAAAATTAAACAAAAATGATAATTAATTCGTGCTGATTTCGATGAATTTTCATAATTATATTAAATGAGCCGTAGCCCACAGCTGCCTGCACTGCACTGCGCTATGTACAGCACACATTGATTCTTTAGTGATTATAATGGCATCACTCTTGATTATATATTATATAATTTACATATTCATTTTTTTTCAAAAATTTTATTTTTAAAAATACTCCATATTTTCTAAGCATTTAAAAAAAACAATTTAAACTTTAAAAGTGATTCAGTGTAAATAATTTAATTTTTAACATTTTCAACCATTTTCATAAAAAAAATTACAATTTTCTAACAGTAGAAAACGATTTAGATAACATAATATAAAATCTTTTTTTTACTGAGTGAAAAATTTATAACTTTCATCCAAATGCAATTTTTTTCTTTGACTGTTCGTTCGATTCAATAAAAAAAAAATCCACCTCTATTTTTTTACAAAAGAAAAGTAAAATTAAGATCGAATTTTTAAAGAATAATTTATATTATAAAACTTTCGAAAGACGTTCTACAAATATGAAATTAAAAAAAAACAACAATTTTACAAAAAAATAATTTAATCGAAGAAAAATGAAAAAATATCTTTAACATTTTTGTTTAAAAAATATAGTTCTTTTGAAAATAGAAAAAAGTAATCAAGAGTCACGCCATTTTGCATTATGATTCTTTTTTTTTAAATATATCTTTTCTTGATTTGCTATAACTTTGTCATATATATCTTTTGACTGTTCGATGTTACATTCTTGGCATTATTTGGCTCTAATGTGTCCAATTTAGGAAGCAAATTGAAACCCTTTTATAATTAGTTATTATATAGTGTATCCCCTTAAAAAAAAAAATTAGCCCGTGGTTACTTTTTTAAATTTAATGTGTGGTACATTAGAGCCCAGTAAATACAATATTTTTCTATCGATGGAGCACAAAAAAAATGCTTGTGTATGTATATTTATGTTGTAACTAGATATTCGATATTTAATATATATATATATACCTTATATACTATTATTACTATATAAAATTGATCCCATACCGGGCACAAGCTGCGATCCCAACAGTATAATTTACTTTTAATTAGCCTTGAATAATGAGCTCGTATTAAATATCACATTGCAATTTAATTAACACACTCGTTTAGTATAGTAATAATTTTGAAAAAATTCAATTCATCTAAAATTCAATATCTATCGTCAATTTTAATACACACTCGACAATTTAGAAGATTTATTAATTTTTGTTAATTTATGGTTTATACAAATTTTTAAAAAACTTTTATATTAATTTATATTTTGCAACGTCTTAAGTTAAAAATAATATATTATTATTATTTTTAATTATTTTCAAAATTGTTTTACATTTCTCAAAAACAACAAAATTGATTGGTTTAAAATTTACAGGGTTGTGTAAATATAAATGACCAGTTCGTGAATGAAGGAATTTTTATTTGAATATAAACTTGGAATTTTTCATTACTGAAAATCAAAAATTTTTAATTTTGTAAAAAGTTATTTTTCAATTAAATTGCTGTCATTTTGTTAATAAATTTAAATTTCAAAACAAATTTTTTGTTTACAAACTAGTCATTTATACGTAGAATAAGTCGTGTAAATTTTAAGTCAATAGTACCTATTGTTTTTAAAAAATCTTACCCAACGCAAAACAATTTTTTTTTTTAAATAATACCGTTAAAATAATGTAAAATATTTTTTTATTATAAAATTCTTTTAAATCACTTAAATTTATGTGCTTTTAAAAGAAATATTTATTTATTATTAAAAAAAAATTATTAAATTTAAGGAGAGTCACCATCTTTATTTTTGAGTCCTTTAAATTTTAATAATCGACGGAAGTTATATTTTTTTTCGTTCATCATTTGAGTTGTAAAAACATGCAGAATGGTCAAAAAAATAAAATTTTTATCATTTTAGAAATTAAAGTCTTAAAATTAAAAAAAATTAATATTTTAAATATCTATCTTTTCACGATTTTAACTATTTTTAATTTTTTCCACACTTTTTTTTAATGATTAAAATTAGAATCTCTTGCATGCATTTTCAAAAATTTTAATTTTTTCAAAAAATAAAAATTCTAAGATGGTCAAAAATTAAAATTTTGTTTTTTTTTTTACTATCCTGTATGTTTTCAGGACCCAAATAATGCAAAAAGAAAATATAAATGAACTTCCTGCCATCATTAAAATTTAAAGAACTCAAAATAAAGGTGAGAAATCCCTTTAAAGAAAAATTGTCAAATATCTTTTTGTTTTCCCCCAATGACAAGTAAATATAATTCCTAATTGAGATTCAAGAAATTGAAAATATCGCATAAATCATAAAATTCCAATCTTCTTTGTGAAAATGTAAATAACTTTTAAATATTAATAATAATATTAAAATAATAAAAATTACAATTCCAAAGACTCAAAAATATAATTTATTATTTTCACACTTTTAACTTTGAATTGATGGGTATTTTAAATACGAGCTCTATAAATTCAAAGGAGATATCGTTTCCGCAAAAGGGAATAAGACTTACTGAATAAGTAAATCCTTAAAGGCGCATTAAAGGAGAGATAAGATTTACTGAAAGGGATTCGTAGCTTCTTTTTAGAGTCTTGAAAAGCGTGTATGTTGCCGTGTTGCTATATAAAGGTATACTATGTGTGTGAAAAACGCTTATTGCTCTCTTTAAAAAAAAAAAAAAAGCAAAAGTGTGCATGAGCGTGATGTGAGTGTATGTGTATATATAGAAGTCAACTGGAGGTGGTTTCCCGTAATGGCACCGGAAGTCGTCCACTGAGCACCATAAGCGCTGGTGGAAGTCTTGGTCGTGGAAGTCGTGCTCTTCATCTACAACATCATCAGAGTTCACTCTCAGCACTGCACATGGCATCCAGTCACAGTAATACAGTCGACAGACGAAGATCCAGTCTCAGGGTAATGTTAAAAAAAAGTCTCTTTTTCACTCTGTCTCTCTCTCTCTCTCTCTCTCTCTCTTTCTCTTTCTCACAACCAGCTTTCGTATAATCTATCTCAAGATTTTTGGTCATCAAAAGCACACTAAGTATATATAATATAGATAAACCTGGCAAAGTGCCCTTAAAATATCCTTAAAGCTATTCTAATATGATTCAGTGTCGATGCCACATTTTCATATAAACCTCGTTCTCAAAGGGCCTATAAAATGAAGACGATATAATATTCTTGTGAAAATTTAATCGTCTTCAGATTATTAACGCTCAAGGAGATGGAGAAGATTAACTATCTCGGACTTTGTATAAAGAATACACCTTTAATCAGATTAAAAAATGTATAATCAGATTATAGTATAAACAACATATATACATAAAATATTTCGCAAAGTATTCATATTTAGTTTGGTTATAAACATCCTGATCCGCAAAATGAGTCCGGAAAAATCTAAATATATTTAGATTAGATTCTGAATTTATATATAAATAATCAGTCCACAACAAATTGGGTCTACACGGAAAGAAATCTTGTTAGAATATTTAATAAATTTGAATAGAAATTTTGATATTTTTGTTTTTCAATTGCGAAACATTCTGGTTTGATAATAATAAAAGTTGGTATAGTTTTACGAATTCCTTTAACTGGAAACATTTTACGAAAACTGAAATTATTATTTCTTAATTCAAATCTACAATTTTCGAATATTGAAAAAACAGTATAGGAAGTAAACCACGGTGCGCCAGAAGGTGGTTTAAATAAAAATGAATTGGCACTTAAAAATTCTTTTTGATTATGATTCTTAGATGAATAAAAAACATTTCTCAATAGTTTTTTAAATCAGTTTACGTGCCCGATTTAAATAAAATTGAGTTTTTATATAAAAACAGTGTTTTATGGGGAATCAGAATTTATTTAATCTAATAAATACTGTAATAAATGATAAAATAATTACTTATTTTCAATTTTACATATAAATAATTATATTGCTGTAGTGTTTGTGTCCGATTTTAAAAAATTAAATTATAATGTTAAAAGAACGATTTTAAGAGTGACAAAATTTATTTAAGAGAGTCGAATGATCTCTGAAATTTTTTGGCAAGAAGAGACCTTTAATTATCGCTCTATAAAAACGGCACTAAACGTGAAAATGATAAAAATTCATTTTAAAATACTTTCTTCTCGAAAGACGGACACTTTTTACAAAAGAAGCTAGAGATCCTTATTTTATATAAATTTCCTAAATCCGAAAGATTATACGAATCCATACAAAAACACGATTGCAAAACGAAAAGTAATATAATGAGGGGTTCATTACCTCCTGCCGCCGTCAGATGGCAACAGCATGCAGGGCGCACAAAGTCGCAGCTGTTATTAGATTACTTTTCTACTTTTTGTTTTGCAACCATGTTTTTCTATGGATTCGTACAGTCTTTTGGATTTAGGAAATTTATAAGATGAGGATTTTGGCTGATTTTGTTAAAAGTGTTCGTGTTTCGAGAAAAAAGTATTTTAAAATCAATACTATTTCACGTTCAGAGCGATAATTAAAGCTCTCTTCTTGCCAAAGAATTTCAGATACCGTTCGACACTCTTAATACATAAATATAAAAACGAAATAAGAAAATAACTTCATTGTTAATAAATTTATATGAACCCAAGTCTAAAACATCTATTATCTATATGCATATAAGTATACATTAAATAAATTCTGGTTCCTCATAAAATACTATTTTTAAATATTTAAAACTCAATTTGTTTTAAATTGTGCACGTAAGCTGATTTTAAAACATATTGAGAAAAGTTTTTTATTCATCTTAGAACCATAATCCAAAGGAATTTTTAAGTGCCAATTCATTTTTATGTAAACCTCCTTCTGGCGCACCGTGAAACAGTTTAGCACTTTGTTATTTACTAAATTTATACGAAAAAGCAAGAGCCGTGAAAAAAAGAAGAACGTCTGAACCACCAATGGCTCTTTTCTAAGATTTTCTCTCCTTTTCTATTCGAGGGTAGTGGGAGTCTTTCTTAATACACACACATAATTGGTACGCTTTGATTGGCTTAAAATTATTCCTTACACATCATAACTACAATACGCATACATAAACGCAGAATAACGCAACGCATATAGATACATAATTCACGCTGAAATAAGAAATTCTGAACTTCTTTATATACTAAACAGATTTTTCTGCACTTGTGAGAAACTTGATATTACATTGTTAAATATTTAAAAATAAAAATAATTATTTATTAAGAAATAATAAAATATTTTATTACCTTTCAAAATCCGAACAATTTTTATCATAAAAGCATTTAATTTAATTATAGAAGCAAACTTATAACAAATATTCTATAATTATATTTAGAAAAAGAAATATAGAATAATTAAATACAATTATTTATCAAAACTTTTTCTATAGTCTATATTGCAGAAATAAAAATTATATAAAAATTATGAGCAAACAAATGAAGTATTTTATTATTAAATATTAATTAAAATTATTTTTAATTCATATTGCAGTATTAAAAATTATTTTAAAATCAGGATGTCCAGCAAGGCTTAAAGAAAAAAATTCCCTGACTTTTCTCTGACAATTTTTTTTTTGTGATTACTCGTTAGTGATCGGTCAAACCCAGTCGGACTCACTCGCTTAACTTCGTCAAACTTGGGTGATTTTTGATATTTTTTTATCATTTTTTGAAAGAAAAAGTTTCTATTAGTATTATATATGTAAATATGAGGATTTAACACCAATCCACTTTCTTATCGACTATTTTAAAATGTAAAATGATTCTACCAGTTAACGGAATTCTAAATACAGAAAATGAAATATTTTATTCTAATACTTGTTACAGGGCGTATTAGAATTTAACTTTTGGAGTTTTCATAATACAATTATGAATTTCGCAAAAACTATTCTAATTTTTGTTTCTAAATATATTAAACTTTATTATTTTTATTTTAGGCATTCTTAAAAAATAGTAATGAAATCTTTCACCACCCCAAAATCTGCAAAATCTTCTGCAATTGTAACTCAATATACTAAATATGAGTGTCAAAATATTAAATATTCTAACAAGATTTTTCTCCGTGTATCCCAGATAGCACGTAAGCTTGCAGCAACCTTGAGGAAAGCTTCAAATGTTCAACCTGACCCAAGCTTGCATGGTAAGCTTACAGAAAGATTGCAGTGTAAGGTTACTGCAAGATTGCTTAGTAAGCTTGCACGGTAAGTTGGTAGCAAGGTTGGTGCAAGGTTGACAAATAACCTTGCTTTAAATCGAAATTTTTTTTTTAAACTGTCTTCTGATTCGGTTTCAGCAACCTGAAAAACATAAAGTTTTTTGTTTGTTTATACATGTTTAAAATTTAATTTAATAAAAAAATAATTGAATTAATAAAAAAAATTATTTTTAATTCAATTTTATAAAACTAATTTTATTGTAAAACTAAAAGAGCCAATATTTTTAATTGTGTACACCCGTGAAACAGAATATGTAACTTAATCTGATAATTAGTACCCAAGTGCGAAAACCAACATGGGCCAATATTGGCCCAGCATTGTCAAATCGGGCACCAAGTCTTGGTAGACAATATTGGGACAACTCTTGTGGTGTTAACTGCGGTTGGACGTCAGCAGCCAAGTATCAGACGTCATTACTGGGCCAATCTTGGCTGCCATTAGTGGCCCAGTATTGTCAAAGTTTAAAAAATTATAATAATTAATTAATTAACTCATTAATTCATTATACATTTATAATTCAAGTCCTGACAGAAAGCACAATTGTTTAAACATTTGAAAATTTATAACGCTCGCGGGAATCGAGCTCGCAACCTAACGCACCGAAGTCTAACACGCTAACCACTACACTATACGCGGATATGGGAATCTCAACACAAAAATGTTTTGATAAGCTGCATTTGAGGGACATTTCAGCCGTTAATGCGCCATTACTGGGCCAAGATTCGTTCCAACTTTGGAAAAAATAACTTGTAAAAATAAATTCAACATTTCAGCCGTCAATGAGCCAATAATGACCCAGTAATGGGACAGAGTTCGTCTCAATTATGGAAAAGTAGAATTACCAAGTATTGGTGCCAATATTGGCTCAGTAGTGTGACGGAGTTCGGCCCAATTATGGCAAATTGGAGTAACTGAGACGCAGTGCCAATATTGGCCCAGTAATGGGACAGAGAAGGCCCAATAATGGCAAATTAGAGTAACCGAGAATTGGTGCCAATATTGACCCAATAATGGGACGAATTGATCGCCAATACTGGTCCAGTGATGTTTACTATACTTCGGCAGACATTACTGGGCCAATGTTGTGCCGTATTGTCAGTCTTGGCGTTTCGCACATGGTTATGTATTTTTTTTGGCATTTTTAAAGTTTGCGAATTGTTTACCTCAAAAAAAAGTTATATGTACATGTAAAACAAAACATGTTACATTCATGACTACACTCCCCTACATATTTGGGATTATTCTGGACTGATTTCAAATTCCAATTTCATTAAATTCTAATTTGATTTGTGTTGATTAAATTAAAATTGTTTTGAACTGTTTATTTTATTCATTCAAATTTCGAATTTTTCCGGATTCATTACGGATTATGATGCTTAACTAGACTAAATCCTAATTGTTACGGATCTCTTCTAAATTCATTAATTTATTTCTTTTTCCACTGAAAATTAGTTACATTTTACTAATAATTATAGTTTATTTTTTACTAATTGCTGAAATAAAAAGGTAAAATTCACATTATTTAGAGAATAGTATATAGGCGAAGACATTAATAAAGGAACATAATTATTTTTTTTTATTTTAAAATTATCATTTAAAATCATTGAAAATATTTTAATGGTCGGTTTTTATATACGTATGTGCGCTTTGTGATCCAAAATTTTAGATATATTTTTGATGAAATATTATTATGCTTTATAGAGAATTTATATATAC